GCAGTATGTCTTTTTGGCATACAGAGGATTCAAATTACAGGAAAGGAGATTCCACCTGAACATTAGGAAGAACTTCCTAACTGTAAGAGCTATTCAGCAGTGGAACTCTCTGCCTCGGAGTCTGCTGGAAGCTCCTTTCTTGGAAACTTTTAAACAGAGGCTGGATGGCCATCTGACAGGGATACTTTGATTGTGCTTGTCCTGCATGGCAGAGGGTTGGACTAGATGGATAATGTGGTCTCTTCCAGCTCTTTACGGACTGCCTTTGGTGGACACAGGGAAAGGTTTTGGCAAATATACCAACTAAGTCTGCTGCAGTCGGCAGAGCTTGGCACAGTCTGGGAGCAAGTTGTAAAAAGAAAGAGATTATTCTCCCTCAAGCAAGTATCACAATGAAAGACCAAGAGGGACTTCTACACAGATCCACAGAGGCAAAGCAGGCGGCCTACATTTTGTCTTCCACCTCACATCCATTTCTGAAGAAAAAGGCTTATTTGATGTACCATATTTGGGTCTGATGTGCCATCGAATCTAACTCACAGCTCAATTTTCAAAACCCTGAAACCAAAAAAAGTATTGGCTGGTGAATGTAATGTCATTAGTTGATGCCTGCTTAGAATTTCTTCTTTAAAAAGAAACGTGTTAGAAGACCAAAGCTTCCAGCGATGGAAAAGAAAACCTTGGGGTGCACCTATGCTATAGAACAGGCATCCTCAAACTGTGGCCCTCCAGCTGTTTGGGCCTTCAACTCCCAGAATTCCTGACAACTGAACAAGATCGTTAGGACTTCTGGGAGTTGGAGGCCCAAACAGCCGGAGGGCCACAGTTTGAGGATGCCTGATATAGAATGAATCCACTTTAATTGCCTTGCTTCAATGCTATGGAATCTACAAGGCTTTGAGCTTTCTCTGCTAAAGAACACTGATGCCTGACCACAGCATTCACCCATGGCCATTAAATAAGAGATGACGTCCCTCAAAGAGCTCCAGAAGCACTTTCCCTTTCTATGTTGCTGTGCATTTTTCAGGCTGTATGGCCATGTTCCAGTAGCACTTTCTTGATGTTTTGCCTGCATTTGTGCCTGGCATCTTCAGAGGTCTGTGGGAATGAAGCAAGTGGGGTGTATATATGTGTGTGGACTGTCCAGGGTTGGGGAATGAACCCTTCTCTGTTTGAAGCAAGTGTGAATGCTGCAGTTGGCAAGCTTGATTAGCATTGAGTAGCCTTGCAGCTGCAAAGTCAATCAGTGTTGTTGCCTGGAGGCATCCTTTGTTTGGGAAGTGTTGGCTGGCACTTGATTGTTTGCTTTCTGGAGTTCCCCTGTTTTCTAAGTGGCGTTCTTTATTTACTGTCTTAATTCTGGTATTTTTAAATATTGGCAACCAGATTTTGTTCATTTTCATGGTCTCCTCCTTTTTGTTGAAATTGTCCACATGCTTGTGGATTTCAAAGGCTTCTCTGTGTAGCCTGACATAATGGTTGTCTGAGCGGTTCCAAATTTCTGTGTTAGCAAATAATATTCTGTTCGTTCATCAATTGCTTTGCTATAGCTGAGTTCTCTTCAGTAGAACTATTAGCTTGCATGGGAGAAAATGGGATTTGGAACTCTGTGTCTATCATAGAATAATAGAGTTGGAAGAGACCACATGGGCCAACCCCGTTCTATGCAGGAAAAGCACATTCAAAGCATCCCTGACAGATGGTCATCCAGCCTCTGTTTAAAAGTTTCCAAGGAAGAAGTTTCCACCGGACTCCGAGGCAGAGTTCCACTGTTGAAAAGCTCGTATGGTCAGGAAGTTCTAATAGTCAGGTGGAATCTCCTTTCCTGTTGTTTGAAGCCATTGCTCAGAGTCCTAGTTTCAAGGGCAGCAGAAAGCAGGCCTGATACCTCTTCCTTATGACCTTTCACATATTTATACTTGGCTCTCATGTCTTCTCTCAAACCTCTCTTCTGCAAGCTAAACAGACCTGGTTCTTCAAGACACTCCTCATAGGGATTATTCATGGTCTCCAGACCTTTGATCCTTTTAGTTGCCCTCTTCCTCTGGATGCCTTCTAGCTTAGGGTCAATATACCTTTTGAACCGTGGTGCCCACAATTGGACACAGTATTCCAGGGAAAGAGATCTAACCAAAGCAGAATACAAGGACACCATGACTTCCCTCGATCTAGGCAATAGATTCCATTCTGCTTTCTACAATATTAGTATTATATAGTGCTATATTGTACGATACCACTATGTTGTTGTTTATTCGTTCAGTTGCTTCCGATTCTTTGTGACCTCATGGACCAGAGCTCCCTGTCGGCCATCACCACCCCCAGCTCCTTCAGAGTCAAGCCAGTCACTTCAAGGATACCATCCATCCATCTTGTCCTTGGGTGGCTCCTCTTCCTTTTTCCACGGAATCATTGTCTTCTCTAAGCTTTCCTGTTTTCTCATGGTGTGGCCAAAGTACTTCATCTTTATCTCTAATATCCTTCCCTCCAATGAGCAGTTGGGCTTTATTTCCTGAAGTATGGAAATAAAGTCCATACTGGTTGGAGCTTCTCGTGGTCCAAGGCACTCTCAGAACTTTCCTCCAACATCTCAGTTCAAAAGCATCTATCTTCCTTTGCTCAGACTTCCTTATGGTCCAGCTCTCACATCCATAGGTTACTATCGGAAATACCATTGCTTTAATTATGCTTTAACTACCACTATATTGCAACATTATTAGTAATATTAAAGATAAAGGTTTCCCTTGATATTAAGTCGTCGTGTTTGACTCGAGGGGGTGGTGCTCATCTCTCTTTCTAGGCCAAAGAGCCGGCATCCTATGTCATGAGGCCAGCATGACTGCATGATAATGGAGTGCCATTATCTTCCCGCAGAAGCAGTACTTATTGATCTACTCACATCTGCATGTTTTCAAACTGCTAGGTTGGCAGAAGCTGGGACTGACAGCGGGAGCTCACCCTGCTCCCCAAATTAGTAATATTACATGTAATATATTATATTATTATATATTATATTGTACTATATTATTATAGCACAATATATAATACACTACCACTCTTATTATACTATTAGTACAATATATTGTACTATATCAGAAGTTGTAATACATATAATGTATTAAAACATTAATCTATATATATAAATCTGTAGGGGGCGTCGTACGGCGTCGCATAACTCCACAACCCCCCAACGAAACTGAACCAAAATTCCCATGCCCCTAGGACAACCCACTCGCTACAAACTAATCTACTCCAAAGTAAAGAAAACACAACTGCAACGACGAAAACACCACAAAACAACTGAACATGCGCACTGGCGCAAACTCCCCGGCACGCGCGCACCCGCCGCCCCTCGCCCCCCCCCCCGGCGGCACACACGCGCGCGCGGCGGAAACTCCCCGCCACGCGCACACCCGCCGCCCCTCACCCCCCCCCGCGGCACACGCGCGCGCGTCGGAAACTCCCCGCCACGCGCGCACCCGCCGCCCCTGGCCCCCCCCCCCGCGGCACACACGCGCGCGCGGCGCAAACTCCCCGCCACGCGCGCACTTGCCGCCCCTCACCCCCCCCTCCCCCGCGGCATTACCGTTGAAAGGGACAGTCCAGAAGAAATGAGAGAAGAAGGGAAAGAGAAGGAATGAAGGAGCCAAAGGGGGAAGGAAGGAGAAAAGGAAATAAAATTAAAGGAAACAGAAGGAAGGAGAGAAAGACAGAGGGAGGGAGGGAGGGAAGGAAGGAAGGGAGGGAGGGAAGGAAGGAAGGAAGGAAGGAAGGAAGGAAGGAAGGAAGGAAGGAAGGAAGGAAGGAAGGAAGGAAAGAGGGAACGAGGGAAAGGCCGACGGCGGGCCAGGAGGGGCCCGGCTCCGCCTCTGCCGCCTCCTCCTCGCCAGGGGGATCCAAGACAGAGAGAGTTCCCTACTACCGTTCCTTCCAGACAGGGGTCTGGCCCGCTGTCATACCGGTTGTGGGTCCACCACCAGAGTCGGCCACAACATCACGGAGGGGAAAGGGGAGGCAGAAACAGAACGAAGGGAGGAATGAGGGAAAGAGAAGGAGAAGGAAGGAAGGAAGGAAGGAAGGAGAAGGAGGAGGAGAAGGAAGGAAGGAAAGAAGGAAAGACAGAAGACATAAAGGAAGGAAGGAAACAAAAAAGGAAGGAAGGGAAGCAGAAAGGGAAGACTGAAATGGGCCACAGCAACGCGTGGCAGGGTACAGCTAGTATTATATATAATACAGGAGTATTCTTACATTACAATGTTATTAAAGTTGGTTTTATAGGCTATTGTTGTATGTATTGTTGATTCGTATGGTTTTAAAATATTGTGAGCTGCTTTGGGCCCCGCTCTGGGCGAAAAGCGGGAGACAAATAAAATTATATGATGATGATGATGATGTCTATATATTAGTAGATTGTCTATCTTTCGGGCCACGTCTCCTCCACCTCGTCTCCCGGCGTCAAATGTCCGCTCCCCTTCTGCCACGACAGGCGCTTCACGGCGTTCTCCTCAGAAAGAAGGCGGGCTCCCGATCTCGCGAGATTTCCAAAGGGAGGGGAGAGAATAAAATAAAGAATCTCCCTCCAAGCAAAAGAGGCGGGGCGTAGTCGGGAAAGCCCCGCCTCCTTCTCCCCTTCCTCCACGCCCCGCCCCGCCCCTTTCGTCCTCCCCTCAGATAACCCTTCTCGGCCGCCGCGTGACGCCCTCAAGGAAGCGACGCGCGGACAGGAAGGACCCGAAGGAAAGGGGAGGGAGATTAGGGAGGGGGCCTGGCACTGCGGGCGTCGCGCGGCGAAAGGGGCGTCTACTTCAGTCGCCTGCCTTTTGGGGGACTTCATTCTTCTTTGCTGCGCCGGTGATGCTCCTCGGGCGGGAGGAGAGTTCGGCCGGGAAAGGCGAGGCGGAGGAGGGAGCAGGAGCCCGGCGGGGATGAGGCCTCGGCAGCCCCAAGGAGGCGGGGGCCAGGGCCGAGGAGGAGGAGGAGGAGGAGGAGGAGGAGGAGGAGGAGGGAGAGGGAACAGCGGCGAGGACCACAGCCACCTCGGAAGGCGGCCCCGGCCTCGCCCGGCCTGAAGCAGCCCAGGAGGAAGAGGATGTCGGAGGAGCCCGAGGCGGAGAGGATGATTAAGGTGAGCAAGCTCCCTAGCAAGAGCGCCTCTGAGCATACCAAGGCCAGCCTTCGCCACGCCCCCTCCCCTCGGGTGTGGAGTTGGGCGAAGTCTGCCATTGGGGGGTCCTCGATCACCAGGAGACCCCAAGGGCCATCCAGCCCAACCCCTTCTGCCACAAAGGAGGACACCATCCAAGCCCCCTTGGCAGATAGCCAGACAGCCTCTGCTTCATCATAATAATGATAATAATCCTAGCAGCATAGAATCCTATATTTGGAGGAGATCCCAAGGGCCATCCAGCCCAACCCCCTCTGCAACAAAGGAAGGCACTATCCAAGCTCCCCCAGCAGACAACCAGGTAGCCTCTGCTTCATCATAATAATGATAATCATCATCATCATTGCAGTATAGAATCCTATATCTGGCGGAGTCCCCAAGGGCCATCCAACCCAACCCCTTCTGCCACAGAGGTGGGCACCATCCAAGCCCCTCCCCCCCAGCAGACAGCCAGGCAGCCTCTGCTTCATCATCATAATGATAATAATAATCCCAGCAGCATAGAATCCTATATCTGGAGGAGACCCCAAAGGCCATCCAGTCCAACCCCTTCTGCCACAAAGGAGGGCACCACCTAAGCCCCCTTGGCAGATAGCCAAGCAGCCTCTGCTTCATCATAATAATGATAACAATCCTAGCAGCATAGAATCCTATAGCTGGTGGGACCCCTAGAGCCATCCAGCCCAACCCTTTCTGCCACAAAGGAGGGCACCATCCAAGCTCCCCCAGCAGACAACCAGACAGCCTCTGCTTCACCATAATAATGATAATAATAATAATCCTACCAACATAAATCCTATATCTGGGGGAGACTCCAAAGGCCATCCAGCTGAACTCCCACAAAGGACCGCACCATCCAAGTCCTCCCCCCTCCGGCAGACAACCAGACAGCCTCTGCTTCATCATAATAATGATAATAATAATCACTTTATTTCTGTATCCCCCCTCCATCTCCCAGAAGGGACTCGGATGGCTTACATGGAGACAATCCCAATCAACATAGTTAAAGTATAAGACATTAAAATACATAAAACAACCTCATAAAATAATATAAAACAAACAACAACAACCAATGGCCTGAGTAATAAACCGTTTCAGGGATAATAATGATAATCATAATCATAGCAGCATAGAAACCTATATCTGGAGGAGACCCCAAGGGCCATCCAGCCCAACCCCTTCTGCCACAAAGGAGGGCATCATCCACACCCTCCTGACAGACAGCCATACAGCCTCTGCTCAAAACCCCCCAGAGAAAGAGACCCCCATTATCATCAGCAAACGTTGTTATTGTTATTATAGAATTCTAGTTGGAATTCCAGGGGCCATCCAGTGCAACCCCTCTTCGGCCAGGCAGGAAGACACAATCAGAGCCTTCCCAACATATGACCCTTCAGCCTTTGCTAAAATCAAACTCTCCGTAGGTTAAAATCACAGACCCCTTCATCATCATTACTAAAAAAGATGATGAGAACAGAATTCTAGAGTTGGAAGGGACTCCCACAAGGCCACTTGGTCGAGCCCCCTTCTGCCAGACAGGGCACAATCAAAACCCTCCCAACAGAGGGCCATGCAACCTCTGTTGAAAAGCCTCTAGAGACTATGGCTGGATCTCCACTGCCATATAATCCAGTTCAATCAGATAATCTGGATTTTATATGGCAGTGTAAATGGGGTCTACAAGGCAATCCATTCCCCTGTTGAACAGCTCTGAGGTTCAGGTGGGATCTCCTTTGCTGTCATTTGAACCCATGGCTCTGTTGAGTCCTAGTCTCCAGAGCAGCAAAAAAAAAGGGAAGGGACCTCGGAATCCTCAGGAGGTGCCTGTGCTGTGGGATGGGTGCTGTTTGACCCCGCATGAACTGCCCTGGCTCAAGGCTATGGGTGCCTTTGGTGGAGCAGAGAATGCCAGAGACCTTGCCCCTCCTATGATTCCATAGCTTTGAGCCTTGGCAGTTCAAGCGGGGTCAGACCCCATCCATTCCACAGTGTAGATTCATTTCAGCCACATTCGGATGGTGGCCACTTTCCCCCTCTTGAACTAGATACAAAACAGAGGCCAGCTTGGGCAAGACTAGCAGCTTTCTCAATGGCTTGTGGTCCTAAAAATCGTGTTTGGTAGCTCCAAAGGCAACCTTGTTGGAAGGCATCCTGCAGCTAAGCTGAAGCAGCCTCGCCTCGCTGTGGGCCTGTTGCAGCTTGATTTCTAACTGACTTGGCATTTGCAGGCCAAAGCTCCTTAAACCCGTGCCAAAGAGCAAAATGTTTGTGCTCAACAAAACACCCCAAAGTTGTAATATTAGTACTGCCAATCATGGTGAAGCCTCTGAACTCTACAAAAGGGTTCCAGACTCACTTTAAGACTCACTGTCTCCTCTTGGAGATGCTTCCTGGGTTCAAGTTCCAAGCCAAAATGTAAAGCAGGAATACCCCCACCTTTATGTCATTTTGATTTATGGCGGTTCCATCAACAGGTTTTCTTGGCAAGGGAGCTTGTACTTGGCATCCTCTGTGGCTAAAAGAGTGAGTGGCCCAAGGGTTTCCGCAACTGGGCTTTGAACCCCAATCTTGTATAGATCCAGCCCTCAAATGATTACTCCACTGGCCCCTGTATTAAGATGCAAACAGAATTGAGTCGTTTGGACAATAAGCAGCCATCTTGCATATCCTTTTACCACAAAAATAAGACCTAACCAAAAAATAAGCCCTGGCAGGACTTTTCTTCAGGGCGCTCATAATGCAAGCCCTACCACAACAGTATGCCCCAGTTAAAATCGTCAGCCAGACAGACACATTTACCAAAAGCATGTCTATTGCAACACACCGTGAACATATTAAATTGTAAAATAATAAATTGTCGAAGGCTTTCGTGGCCAGAATCACTGGGTTGCTCTGAGTTTTCTGGGCTGTCTGGCCATGTTCCAGAAGCATTTCCTCGTGATGTTTTGCTCACATCTATGGCAGGCATCCTCAGAAGTTGTGAGGTCTGTTGGAAACTAGGCAAGTGGAGTTTATATATCTGTGAAATATCCAGGGTGGGAGAAAGAACTCTTGTCTGTTTAAAGCAAGTGTGAATGTTGCAATTGGCCAGCTTGATTAGCATTGAATGGCCTTGCAGCTTCAAAGTCTGGCTGCTTCCTGCCCAGGGGAATCCTTTGTTGCAAGGCCTTACTTACTTAGGCGATCCCTCGTAGTTCGAGGATGATTGTCCTCCAAGTGTAGTGTCCTGGCAGTGGGGTCCGTAGGTGACTGTGGAGCCCTATTCTTGATCTCTACCTTCTCCCACAGTGAGGGCATCGGTTTCCAGGTGGAAGGTGGTATCGGTCAGCGTTGGCTTGACGTGTCTTCCTCTTGGCATATTTCTCTCTTTTTCCCTCCATTCGTGCCTCTTCAAATTCTACAGCACTGCTGGTCATAGCTGACCTCCAGCTGGAGCGCCCAAGGGCCAGGACTTCCCAGTTCTCAGTGTCTATGCCAGAGTTTTTAAGGTTGGCTTTGAGCCCATCTTTAAATCTCTTTTCCTGTCCTCCAACATTCCGTTTTCTGTTCTTGAGCAACTGCTTTGGGAGACCGTGGTCGGGCATCCGGACAACATGGCCGGTCCAGCGGAGTTGATGGCAGAGGACCATCGCTTCAATGCTGGTGGTCTTGGCTTCTTCCAGCACGCTAACATATGTCCACTTGTCTTCCCAAGAGATTTGCAGGATTTTTCGGAGTCAGCACTGATGGAATCATTCCAGGAGTTGCATTTGACGTCTGTAGACTGTCCACGTCTCACAGGCGCATAGCAGGGTTGGGAGGACAATAGCTATATAAACAAGCACCTTGGTATCCCTACGGATGTCCCGGTCCTCAAACACTCTCTGCTTCATTTGGAAAAAAGCTGCACTCGCAGAGCTCAGGCGGTGTTGTATTTCGGTGTCAGTGTTGACTTTTGTGGAGAGGTGGCTGCCAAGGGAGTGGAAATGATCGTTTTCTAATGTTACACCATTAATTTGTATTTCTGGCATTGGAGAGGGATTGGCTGGTGACTGCTGGAAGAGCACTTTGGTTTTCTTGATGTTTAATGACAGGCCGAGCTTCTCGTAAGCTTCTGTGAAGGTGTTTAGAGTGGCTTGTAGGTCTTCTTCTGAATGAACATAGACGACATTCTCATCAACGTACTGGAGTTCTATAACGGATGTTGTTGTAATCTTGGTTTTGGCTTTCAGTCTGCTGAGGTTAAATAGCTTGCCATCTGTCCGATAGATGATTTCCACTCTGGTGGGAAGCTTCCCGTCAACAAGGTGAAGTATCATAGCGATGAAGATGGAGAATAAAGTTGGGGTGATAACACATCCCTGTTTGACACCTGATTCCACCTTAAATGGGTCACTTTGGGAGCCATTGCTGTCCAAAACTGTTGCCATCATGTCATCATGGAGGAGCCGCAGGATGTTCACAAATTTATTAGGGCACCCGATCTTTTGGAGGATGGTCCAGAGGGCGCTGCGATTTACTGTGTCGAATGCCTTTGCAAGGTCAATGAATGCCATGTACAGAGGTTGATTTTGTTCCCTGCATTTTTCTTGGAGCTGTCGTGCAATGAAGATCATGTCCACAGTTCCTCTGGAGGGGCGGAAGCCATTCTGGGATTCTGGGAGGGTGTCTTCTGAGAGGGGTAGAAGGCAGTTTGCAAGGATTCTTGCAAGGATTTTCCCAGCTGAGGTTAGAAGGGAGATACCTCGATAGTTTTCGCAGTCTGTTCTTTCCCCTTTTTTGAAGAGGGTGATGATGGTGGCATCCTTGAAATCTGCTGGGATTTTCTCGGTCACCCACACTTTTTCTATGAGCTGGTGGAGTTATTATTATTTATTATTATTATTAACTTTATTTGTACCCCGCTAGCATCTCCCGGAGGACTCGATGCGGCTTACACAGGCCGAAGCCTCAGAACACAATACAATAGAAGCATAACACAACAATAAACAAAGCAAATCAAATAATTAAGCAAAATAACAGCAACAGTGACAATGCATCAAGACACTTTAAAACTGGGCCGGCCGGCGCAATGGGGTACAGGGTTAAAAGTGCTGAAATGGCAGGAGGAACGTAGGATTAAAATAGTGCGGTGTGCAGTAATATTGATTGTACTAAAGTGCTTCTAGGACTTGGGATGGGGGATTCCTAATCTGAGAAGGCACATCGGAACAGCCAAGTTTTTAGGTTCTTTCTGAAAGCTGCTAAAGTAGGGGCCTGTCGAAGATCTTTTGGAAGGGCATTCCAAAGTCGGGGGGCCGCCACAGAGAAGGCCCTGTCCCGTGTCCCCACCAAGCGCGCTTGCGACGTGGGTGGGATCACGAGCAGGGCCTCCCCAGATGACCGGAGCGAGCGTGTGGGTTCGTAGATGGAGATGCGGTCACGCAGGTAGGGTGGTCCCAAACCGTTCAGGGCTTTGTAGGTGAGCACCTGCACCTTGAATTGGGCTCGGAAAATAAATGGCAGCCAGTGGAGCTCCTTAAACAGAGGGGTAGACCTCTCTTGATAATGAGCCCCGGTTAGCAACCTGGCTGCTGCCCGCTGGACCAATTGAAGTTTCCGAGCCGTCTTCAAGGGCAGCCCCACGTAGAGCGCATTGCAGTAATCTATTCTAGAGGTGACCAAGGCATGGACCACCCCGGCCAGATCAGCCTTCGCGAGGTACGGTCGCAGCTGGCGCACAAGTCTCAATTGTGCAAAGGCCCTCCCGGATACCGCCGACACCTGAGCCTCAAGTGTGAGCGAAGAATCCAAGAGGACACCCAACTGCGGACCTGTGGCTTCAGGGGGAGTGTAACCCCGTCCAACACAGGTAGCCACCCTATACCCCGATCCGGTTTACGATCGACCAGGAGGACCTCTGTCTTGTCAGGATTGATCTTCAGCTTGTTCCTCCTCATCCAGATCGACACAGCGGCCAGGCACTCGTCCAGCACCCGAGAGGCCTCCTTGGAATTAGGTGGAAAGGAGTAGTAGAGTTGCGTGTCATCCGCATAAAGATGGCACCCAACTCCAAAACTCCGGATGACCTCTCCCAGCAGTTTCATGTAGATGTTAAAAAGCATGGGAGACAGAATAGAGCCTTGCGGGACCCCACAGGTCAAAGGCCAGGGGTCCGAGCAGGCGTCTCCCAGCTTCACCATCTGGGTTCGTCCCTCCAGGAAGGACCGGAGCCACGACAGAACCGTGCCCCCAAGGAGTTGTTGTGTCCGCTCAGGTCCTCCCTCTTTAAAGATTTCAGCAGGGATCCCATCAGGTCCGCTGGCTTTGTTATTTTTTTGTTGGCTGATAGCATTGCTGACTTCTTTCAAACTAGGCAGCGCTGCAAGCTCATCCCTGGTTTGTTGTTGCAGGATTTGTAAGAGAACCTCTTCGGCCACATTGGAGCTGCGATTCAGGAGGCTTTGGTAGTGTTCATTCCAACGTAGTGCAACTGATGTTTTGTCCTTCAGAAGTTTGGTTCCATCTGATGAGCATAGAGGCTATATGCCATGGTTTCTTGGTAGATGACCTTTGTGGCTTTGAAACATCCCTGAGCATCATGGGTATCTGCCAGGTGTTGGATTTCTTCAGCCTTCTTTGTCCACCAGATGTTCTTGAGTTCTCTTATCCTTCTTTGGACCTCAGCTTTTGCACTGGCGTAGATCTTTTTCTTAGCAGCACAGCTGACGTCTCTCTGCCATGTTTGGAAGGCTTTCCTTTTCTTGTCAATTAGCTGTTGGATCTCGTTGTCATTTTCATCAAACCAATCTTGATGGTTCTTGGTTTGATATCCAATAGCTTCTTCGCAGGCTGTGATGATGGAGGTCTTCTGTTTGTTCCAATGTTCCTCAGTATTTTCGGGGTGTTCTGTGCAATGCTCTCTACGTGGGGTTGCCTTTGAAGATAGCTCGGAAGCTCCAACTAGTCCAACGCTCGGCAGCCATGATTTTAACAGGAGCGGAGCGCAGGGAGCATACAACCCCCCTGTTGCGCCAACTCCACTGGCTACCGATCTGCTACCGGGCTGAATTCAAAGTGCTGGCGTTGGCCTTTAAAGCCCTAAACAGTTCCGGCCCAAGCTACCTATCTGACCGCATCTCTGCCTATGAACCCACCAGGACTTTGAGATCTTCCGGGGAGACCCTGCTCTCGATCCCGCCTGCTTCTCAACCTCGGCTGGCGGGGACGAGAGATAGGGCCTTCTCGGTGGTGGCTCCTCGGCTGTGGACGGACATTAGACTAGCACCATCTCTAATGGTATTCCGCAAAAAAGTGAAGACCTGGCTGTTTGAGCAGGCGTTCGAATAATTAGTGCAATGATTGGTTAATGAACACTGGAATGGAACAATGGATGACGAATCTGGAACATGTTTTTGATGACGAGACGACAGTGAATGGGTATTGTAGTAACTGTTTATTAATTGTGTAATGTGTAGGTTGTTAACTGTTTTTATACTGTAGCACTGAATTTTTGCTGTTCGTATTTGTTGTGAACCGCTGTGAGTCGCCTTCGGGCTGAGAACAGCGGTATATAAGCAAGGTAAATAAATAAATAAATAAATACTAGATGGTCCTTGAGTGCTGTTTGAAAATGGGCTCATTTGGAGGGCTCCTGAAGGGCTTGGGTGTTCATTTTGCGCCTTGTCTTTCTTCCTTGGAGTCTGCGCTTGGGGGCGATCTTGATAGCCATCGTGGATCAGATTAGCCCGTAGTCTGCCCAGCAGTCATCAGCACCTGTCATGGCTCTTGTGAGAAGCAAGGCCATTCAGCGCTAATCAAGGTGGCCCATGGCTACATTCACACTTGCCTCAAGCAGGCAAGAGTTTTTTCTCCCATCCTGGACATTATTCCACATATATATAAACCACACCTGCTCACTTTCCAACAGACCTAACAACCATTGAAGATGCCTGCCATAGATGTGGGTGAAAAATCAGGAGATAATGCTTCTGAAACATGGCCGTACCACTCGGAAAACTCAGAGCAACCCAATAATAATAATTATGACATAAATAATATTGATATAATATTATGAGGATGTTCCAGAAGAAGCTGGCATGCCTGTATTTGAATAAAATTAGATTGTTGTACATGACACAAATAAGACACCCCCAGGAAATAAGCCCGAATGCATTTTTGGAGCACAAATTAATCTACAATCTGGTCTAATTGATGGGGTGGGGGGAAACAGTAGCTGTTTTTACTTTGCTTGTGAAACGTTCCAGCTTTCCAAGTGCAGTTGGACTACCGCAACCAGCATCCTTCATCATTGATTTCATCTGGGACTTGCAGTTGAGTAATGCGCTAGCCACAGGATTCCCACACTTGCTGTAGCCAATTATTTTGCCATTGGCAACTCTGTTCATGAAGCAGTATGGCTAGGATAGCACACCTGAAGAATTGTTCTAAAGATTATGAACTATTTCTCTTTGTCTTTTTTTTCTTGGAAAAAAAAGGAAACGTCTATTTTGGAAGAATACCACATTAACTGGACTCAGAAGCTGGGAGCTGGCATCAGTGGCCCAGTCAGGTAAAAACCTCAGGTTTATTTCATGTCAAAAGCAATGCATAAATAAATAAGTATAAAGCTGATAAAATATATGGAGAACAAGCAGCTAAATAGTTTTAGACCAAAAACGGGCAACAGTGACTGCATTGTCTGTAGCTTGAAACAGTTCTTCCTCTGTGCATGAGGCAGGGCATGGTGGGCAAGCATACAGGTGCAGAGTTGTTTGTTCCGCTCCACAGTTGCACCAGGTGGAGGATTCTTCTAGGAGGTGCCTTTTTGTCAGGTTGTCCTTTGATCTGCCCACTCCATTTCTGAGTCTGTTCAGGGACTTCCATGTTGCCCACTCTTGCTTTGCTCCTGGAGGAAGACCCTCGTGGGGGCCATCCAGTTGAAACTGGCTGATTTTGCTCCCCTTGGGGATATTTTTGCTGCTGCTGGAGGAACATTAAGAGGAATGGTGGTTCTCGTGAAACTTTCCCTTGATTTTCCCTGATGGGAGGAGGCTGATAGCCATGCAGTGGGTGGCTTTCACAGTGTTCAACCTTATTTCTCTCGCGTTGGCTGCAACTTCCCATCGCACATCGGGGGGGGGGGGGGGGGAATGCCTGCTACCTTATAGAGTATCGGCAGGTGTAGGTTTAAGACATCCTGTGATTATTCTACATCTCATTCTCCTGCTTTGCGTGGGTAGACATGTGCCAAACAGGGCAGCCTTACTCAGCAGTTGAGTCAGACAAGGTCCGGGCAGATGTTCTTTCTAATTTTGGGTCTGCACCCCATGCGCTATTAGTAAGTTTCTGCAGGACTTTATTGCGTGTGGTTCCTTTGTGCTTGGTGTTTGCCAAGTGTTTCCTAAATGTTAGTTTTGATCTAAGGTGATGTCGAGATATTTAGAGTGGGAACAGTGTTTGAGCCCTTGGCCTTCCCAGGTAACTTTCAATTTCCCGTTGGCTTCACAATTACTTAGGTTGAAAGCACACACTTGTGTCTTGGCAGAGTTAGGCTTCAGGTGGTTATATTTGAACTAGCTGGAGAGATTTTTCAGGGCATTAATAAGTTGGTTTTCAACTGTTTCTAAATCTTTTACTTGTGTTGTTAGGCCAAGGTCACCAGGGTGTATAAAGCTTTTTGCGAGTGGTGGTTGTGGCTGATCTGGTTTGCCCCCTTCTTGCTTTCAGTGGCGCGTCAGGGTTAGGCCTCTCTAGAGCGCTCTAAATCACTGCTCACATTTATGGCCTTTGGGCCTGCCCAACCAAAGCAAACTCTGCCTTTTGTACAGGATGACACACTTTTGTCCCCAGGAGAGAAAACAGCAGTGCGAGCCAATCTTTTATTCAACCTCATGAGTAAACTCATAGAAACCAATTGAGAAATCTCAATAAAAGACCCTTTATGGCAGGTCACTATCTTTAAAGAAAAGGAGCCAGCTCTTTCCTAGCTCATTGCATTTCTTCTCAAATGTCAGAGAATGCCGGATTGGTTCCAGCAATTGGGTTGATTTTGTATCCAGGTGAGAAGCTTCAAAGAACTGAAGCAGTGAGAACATCTGAAACTGCCAGGTATGATTAGTTTGAGTGGAGCATTTCTAAGTAATTTTCTTGGACTCAGAATCCCCCAGCTGGCAGGGCCACTGAGTATACAGACTTCAGCATTCCCACTGTTGGGAATGCATCGTTTCTAAGCGTTGTTTTCCATCACTGTTCAGTGGCCGCGACAGCCCCGGTGCCGTCTGGGATTTGGTGGCACAGGCTTTTAGACAGGGATTGGATCGTACAGAAGAGGAACTTCATAGCAAACTGTGTCCAGACAGCAAAGGGGAACTCGATGCAGGAGTCAATTGGGGAGGAGTTCTACTGATTTTCTCTATGACATGTTGAATGCATTTATTTGCAAGCTGTTAAGTTGCCCAGTTAACCAACATAGTCTCCTGCCGTCCGGACAGGGTCTGCATGAAAAAGTCGTCTCAAGAACGGTTTGCGCTGAAAATCCTTCTTGATCGCCCCAAAGCTAGAAATGAGGTACGTCATGCTTGGGAAACAGTTTATCACTTAGCATGGCCTTTTGTGTCTCTCCTTCTGTTCCTTGCTATCCTGAAACAACGGACAAAGTCCATTCCATAGACTCCCCAAGGCAGCTCCAGGATAAGTGTGGGAGTCTTGCAAGAACAGGCAAGGAACGACCATATTTCGTTGCATAATAGTCACACTTTTCCCTTTTTTTCCATCAAAAAAGGTATGCGACTCTTATGCGAGGATAAAAAACTGACTTTGTTTTTCTCTTTTTGCCTTACCTCTGAAAGGAGAGGAGGAGAAACAGCTCCATTTCTATTTTTTTTCTTTTCCCAACTGTAGAGTCATTTGGGGCTGATTTTCCCTTCTTTCTCCAAAAGCAAGGCAGTTTAAAAACTATAAAATGGAAGTCTCTGAAGCTCCACTCTTCTCTTCTTCCGGGGTCTTAAGGAAATTAACAAAACCTGGAATGGAGCTCGTTGGAGGAAGGGGGGAAGATCTAATTTCCAGAGACCTCAATTTCAGTTTTTTTAAACTGCCATAAGGCCGTGGAGGAAGGAGAAAGGAGAGAGGAGTGGAGCTCCAGAGGCTTCCATTTCATAGTTTTTAAACTGCCTTGCCTTCGGGTGCGAGTATTATGTGAAGAAAAAAAAATACAATTTTTGACACCCCAAAATGGTGGGTACAAGGAAACACTAGTCGGCATGGGCCACGGTCACTATTTTTCCCTTCCTCACTAGGTCCGGCTTCACATGATGTGTGCCATGCATCCCAACATTGTCCAGATAATCGAAGTCTACGCTAACAGTGTGCAGTTCCCTCATGAGTCCAGTCCAAGGTAGGGCTGCAGGGGGCGGCTTTGACGGGGCAATGCCTTTTCCATGCTTTGCAGAGGATCCTAGCTGCATGTTTCAGGCCACTTTTTGGCCTATTCCATACAGTTTTTGCCAGCGTGTTTTGTCATTCCTTTCCAATTCCAATTCCATCTTTGGTGGAGTTCAGAGTGCTCATTGATTGCAGGTGAATTATAAACCCCAGTACCTACAACTCCAAAATGTCCAGGCCAATTCCCCTCACAACACACCAGTATTCAAATTTGGGCATATTGGGTATGCATGCCAAGTTTGGTCCATATCCATCCTTGTTTGGGTTCATAGTGTGCTCTGGATGTAGGTGAACTACAATTCCTATAAATTCATCTAAAGCCCTCCAGTATGTTTTGTTGCTCATAGTGGTTCTGTGTGCCAAGTTAGTTCCAGGTCCATCATTCAGAGTGCTCTTAGATTGCAGGTGAACTATACATCCCAGGACCTACAACTCCTATAAATTATGGTCATATTCAATGCATCCTCCTGGCTGATGATCTTAACTGGGGCTTTCTTTTGGGGTAGAGCTTATATTACAAATGTCCTGAAAAAAGCAGGCTAGGGCTTAGTTTCAGGAAAATTCCTGCACCGGCAACTCCTCATTTGCAAATGTCTCCTTTTCTTCCTGCCACACCTCAGGGCTATGCCGTAATACAATGGAGATTGCCTTCCAAAAGTCTAGGTCAGGAAAAACAGATTCTTTATCCTTCCTAATCCTAAATTAGATTTATATAAGCAAAGCCTGGCCCCGCTTGCTGGGATGTTGGCGGCGATAGCATAATTTTTTATTTATATCTTGGGTTTTCCTTTCTTTCTTTCTTTCTTTCTTTCTTTCTTTCTTTCTTTCTTTCTTTCATTCATTTAACAAACCAGAATGCTTTTAAAACAGGGCCCGGCTCCTCATTGTAATGGAGATGATGGAAGGAGGTGAACTCTTCCACCGAATCAGCCAACACCGGCACTTTACCGAGAAGCAAGCAAGCCAAGTAACAAAGCAGGCAAGCCAGATCGTCTTTGGATGGAGAAACATACATGTTCCATATGTTGTAAATGGTCTAGGTCAGGGGTCCTCAAACTAAGGCCCAGGGGCCAGATTTAGCCCTCCAAGGTCATTTACTTGGCCCTCGCTCAGGGTCAACCTAAGTCTGAAACGACCTGAAAGCACACAACAACAATAATCCTATCTCATCAGCCAAAAGCAGGGCCACACTTCCCTTTGAAATACTAATAAGTTTATATTTGTTAAAAAATAGTTCTTCATTTTAATTATTGCATTGTTTATAAGTGTTTCTTTGCACTACAAATTAGATGTGTGCAGTGTGCATAGGAATTCATTCATGTTTTTTTTTCAAATTATAATCCGACCCTCCTACAGTTTGAGGAACTGTGACCTGGCCCTCTGTTTTAAAAGTTTGAGGACCCCTGGTCTAGGTTGTTAGGCTGACTTCCAGCTACGTATTTTGAAAATGAGTTGAAAAAAATATCCACATTGGGAAAGCATGTTTTGAATTAATTGTAGAGAGAGCTTATTGTTGAAAGCCCATGTTATGCAGCTTCTTCAACACTCGTTCGGTTGGTTTGTCTTGGACAACATTGGTTTAAATATGACATTGGTGAATCAAAAAGTTTTGCCTCCTGCATCATAAAAATGTTATGAATGGAGCTATAACAGCAGAAGTTGCCCCAGATCATAGCCTGAACTGTCCTCTGTCAAAACTATCCTTCAGGATAGCCACCATCAATTTGTACACATTTGTGCTGTCGTTTAACCCAGACATCAAAACAATTTTGGAAAAAATCAGGGTTTTTCTTCGTGACCCAGGATTTCAAAGCTGTTTTAACGTCATTCAAGTCATTGAATCTGAAACCACATAGGTTGTCTTTCAGAGGTCCACACAGGTCAAAGCCAGAAGGGGTGAAATCATAAATATTCTTCAAGCAATGATGGATTTCCTTAGGTGCACAACCTTCTTTGGACAGAAATGCAATGAGGACTCTTTCTTTTAGCTTCAGATTCATGGTTTTAATCAGTCAGTCGGAAAAGAAAAGACCCTATCAGTAGAGTAAGGTTATCTCTATAATATCTTGCATAGATAGTCCAGTAGCTGGGAAAGAAAGAAAAGTTAGAGCGAAGTAGGCACTACTTTTTGACCCACCATCATACAAGTGAGGAATAACAGATCCAGCAGCCAGGCATGATTTATTTCATGTTATGGTGATGGAAATATTCCTATAGACCTAACTGTGCATTTTAGTTTGACTTGATGTGTGAAAAAAAAATTGGCATTTTGATTTCTGTTGTTGTTGTACTGCAGGATGACAAAACAGAATCCTTAAGGCTGAGCATCTGTAATCATGATACTGGCTTGCAATGTCTTGTTTTTGCTATCTTTGCAGCAGCTGTGGTGTTCGGATGTATTTAATCTACCTACCTGCCTTCGTTGTTGAAGCCTTGCCCAGAAAATATGTCAGGGTTTGCACCGCACATAATCACCTAAGTCTGTTACAGAAAGGGCTGTGTTGTGATGCAACCACGGGACTGGAAATCTAGTTTGTGAGCTGGATTAACACTTTGGGTCCGGAAGCAAAGCAGGAGTTGGGGTCAACTGTGTTGTAGAAGGCCTTGTATCAGTTTGAAAAGAAAGTGATGTGTAGTTGACAGGAAGATTGGGTGCTTCCTCATTCACCTGCTGTTCTGACTTCCTTGTGCCCTCTTTCCAGATAGCTTTGGCTTTGCAGCACTGTCATTCATTGAACATTGCGCATCGAGACCTCAAGCCCGAGAACCTGCTTTTCAAGGACAATTCTTTGGTAAGATGGACATGTCATAATCAAACTCTGGCTAAATCAGGAGGTGAAAGGTAGCCTTTGCTAGCCTCTTGTACTGTTTGCTGGCCTTCGCATTTTCCTGTCTATCCAAGAACATACAGCTGCCTTCTCGCCTTCAGTCTTTTAACCAAGAGCCATTTTTTTGAATCCTTTATTTCATCACATGCTACTTGCATGACCCACCTCCTTTTTTCATCAAAAAAGGGAGGTGCAACTATTATGCAAGGAAAACAAATCTACCTTTGATTCTCGGGTTTCTGGCTTTTAAAAAATTAATCCCTTCTGAAAGGAGAGGAGGAGGGATGATCCAACCTCAAACAAACAGCTTTGTTTCTGTTGTTTTTTAAAACTGCAGAGCCATTTGGGGCTTATTCTTCCTTCCTTCCTTCTCTCTCTGTTGGCAAGGCAGTTTGAAAACTATAAAATGAAGGTCTCTGGAAGCCACAGTGGCGCAATGGGTTAAACCCTTGTGCTGCTGGACCACTGACCTGAAGATTGTAAGTTTGAATCCGCAAGGTGGGGTGAGCTTCCGTCTGTCAGCTCCAGCTCCTGCCAATCTACCAGTTCAAATACATGCAAATATTAGTAGATAAATAGGTACCGTTTTGGTGGGAAAAGGCAAAGAGACACTCCAAGCAATCCTGTTGTCCACACAACCAGGAGGTGACAACACAGGTTCCTTGGCTTGAAAATTGAGAAAAAAGCACTTCTCCAGAGCCAGAGATGAGCACCACCTCTAGAAGCTGGGAATGAAAGTAGAAACCTCTGCTGTTGTTTGAGTTTGTGTGTCTCATTGTATATGATTGTAAAGGCACTGAATGTTTGCCTATGTATGTAAATGCTGTACTCTACTCCAAGTCCCCTAGGGGAAAATTCGGAATATAAATAAAGTGTATTATTATTATCACTCTTCCTTCCTCAAATGCCTTAAGGTGTAAGGGAAGTGGACGACATCCTTCTAAGGCAGTTTACAAAATCTGAAATGTAGCTCTTTGGAGGAAGGGGAGAAGAGCCAAGTTCAAGAGACGTCAATTTCAGGTTTTTAAAGATGCCTTAAGAAGGAAGGGGGGAGCGGAGCTCCAGAGATCTCAATTTCATAGTTTTTAAACTGTCTTGTCTTTGAAGAAAGAAAGAAAGATAGAAAGATAGATGAAGGGAAGGAAGGAAGGAAGGGAAGAAGAAAGGGGTGATCTGCCCCAAATGGCTCTGCAACTATTATGTGAGGAACAGAAACATGCCAATTTTGTCACCCAGAAAATGGGTGTTGTGATTATTTCATGCTGGCGACTATTATGTGATGAAATGCAGACAGGGGCATAAATGAGCAGCAACTAACTTCTGGTGTATCTATTCTTTTCTGCTTTAGGATGCTCCGGTGAAGCTCTGTGACTTTGGCTTTGCCAAGGTGGACCAGGGAGACCTGATGACGCCACAGTTTACTCCATATTACGTGGCACCTCAGGTAAGAGATGAGGGCGTACCAGGTCAATTTTTCTCGTACTTCTATCCTTCCAGAGCTAGCAGGATAAAGTTGCTTTGCCTCCTGTCCTGAAGCTGAAATCTTACTTCATTTGTATGGTTTCTCTATTCTTTAAAATTCACCTTTCTTTCCCTTCTATCCTGTCAGGTACTCGAGGCACAGAGAAGGCATCAGAAGGAGAAGTCTGGCATTATCCCTACCTCACCAACACCCTACACATATAATAAGGTACGTTCTACACCTATTTACTTATTTTTATTTATTTCGTGTCAAAAGCATTGCATACATAAGTTTAAAACTAGTAGAAATAGAAGGAGCACAAGCAGCTATATAATTTTTGACCAGAACCAGGCAACAGTGACCATATTGTCTTTAGCATTAAACAGTTCTTCCTCTGACCTCACAACCTCTGAGGATGGCTGCCATAGATGCAGCCGAAACGTCAGGAGAGAATGCTTCTGGAACATGGCCATACAGCCCGAAAAAAACCTACAACAGCCCAGTGATTCTGGCCATGAAAGTCAACAATACAGTTCTTCCTCTGTGCATGAGGCAGGGCATGATGGGCAAGCATACAGATGCAGAGTTGTTTCTTCTGCTCCACAGTCACACAAGGTGGAGGAATCTTCTAGGTAGTGCCATTTTGCCAGGTTGTCTTTAGATCTGCCCACTCCACTTCTGAGTCTGTTCAGGGACTTTTAAGTTGATCATTCTTGGTTTGCCCCGGCTGAAGACCCTCGTGGGGAGCCATCCTGTTGGGATTTCCTGGTTTAGCTGCCCAAAGGGATGCTCTTGCTGTTGCTGGGGGAACATTAAGGGAAGTGGTGACTCTCATAAACCTTTCCCTTGATTTGAGTCTACTGGGAGAAGGCTGATAGCCATGCAGAGAATGTCTTTCACAGTGTTCAACCTTATTTCTCTCACAGTTAGCAGCAACTTCCTGTCGCACATCGGGGGGGGGGGGGGGGGGGGGGGGTAATGCCAGCTACCTTACAGAATCTATCAACAGGTGTAGATTTATGACATTTTGTGATTATTCTACATGTCTCGTTCAGTGTTATAGTTATTTGCTTTGCATGAACAGACTTATGCCAAACAGGGTGAGCATACTAAGCAGTCAAGACAGACAAGGCCAGGGCTGATGTTCTTAATAATTTTGGGTCTGTACCCCATGCACTGCCAGTTAAGTTTCCGTAGGATGTAATTGCATTTGGCTACTTTGTGCTTGGTGTTCGCACAGTGTTTCCTAAATGTTAGTGTTTGATCTAAGGTGACACTGAGATATTTAGGGTGGGAACAGTGTTTGAACTCTTGGCCTTCCCAGGTAACTCTCAATTTCCTTTTGGCTTCACGGTTGCATAGGTGGAAAGCACACACTTGTGTCTTGGCAGGGTTAGGCTTCAGGTGGTTATCTTTGCAGTAGCTGGAGAGATCTTTCAGGGCATTAATAAGTTGGTTCTCAACTGTTTCACAGTCTTTTGCTTGTGTTGTTAGGCTAAGGTCATCAGTGTATATAAAGTTCTTTGTGAGTGATGGCTGTGGCTGATCGTTAGTAAAGGTGTTAAACAAGGTTGGTGCAAGAGCACTACCTTGAGGTAGACCATTCTTTTGCCTCCTCCATCTAGCTTTCATGCCCTGAAACTCCATATAGAAGCTGTGGTTTTCTAGGAGCGTCTGGACAGTTTTTGTGAAATCATAGTCCCAAGTAATATGGTAGACTTTATGCAGGTACTTTTCTTATCCCAACAATACTAAAATGGAATGACTTCCGGGTGGATGGCATGGTGGCAGGACGGGCACTGTGAGAGCTCTCTGGTGCCATCGCCTTCGCGACCAGGTAGAGCCTGCATAAGGCTCCCTCCGTCAGGTGGGCAAGATCTGACGGACTGCTAAACCCACAGGGCACCATCCGATGGTCTAGGAGACCCCCTCCCCTCAAGGGTGAGGGTCCACGGACCCGGGAATCTTGGTGCCCGCAGGGCAAGCGGGTCGCTGAAGAGACAAGCGCCGGCAACACAGCCGGCTTACTGCCGACCTCTTCCACTCTCAAACAAAAAGAAAGAAATCCACTGTGCAAAAGTAAGTACTAAAAAAGAATCTCTATTTGAAGATCGCTTAGCTTCCTGGAAACTATAAAAGAAAGAGAGAAACAACTACCCCCACGGGGGAAAGAAATTAAATAAGCAAATAATTTGGAAAAGACCCTGAATTGAATCAATTATTATCTCCAAAATAAGAAAGAAAATTAATGGAGGCAAGAAGCGATTTCCTATAAAATATATATGTATATACATAAAGATAAAGTCTGATAGAGGGGGAGAAAGACAAAGAAAGACAAAGAGACATTTTGGAAAAATATTGACCTTGACTGAAGAATTGTTTTGTCTACACTCCCTCCTCTCTCAAAACAAACTCGGAATAGAGTTTATGTGGCTAGAGAGTCACCTAAGACGAATGGTGACAGGAAACAGGAAGTAGTAACCAAGAGAAGGAGCGACCATAGAAAACAGGAAGCAGGAAATAAGGGACTGAGTCTGAAGACACAAGCATTGAAACCATAGAGCGGATGCCTAGACAACACGGAATTTGGATTATAAATGAAGCATAAATAAAAGTTACTCAAAAATAAAAGCCACATACATATATATATACATATTGAAAAGTTAATAAAGATATACATACAGAAAACAGATACGGAGCCAAGCATAGGAGTAAGATCGGGAGACGGAGACGACGATCTGAAAGCCGGACGGGGGACAAATCGGCGAAAAGGAACGGCGGCGGCGGTGACGAGCGGGAGACGACGGGATCGGCGGGGACAGAGGGACAACGGGGAGTGAAAGATGGAGGACGGAGGACAACAAGGACAACAAAGAACTGAACATCGGGCAGCGGAGAGACGACAGCGACGACAGCGGAAAGCAGACGGAGTGAAAGAAGGACGACAGACGGAGGAGATCCAGAGGAACGGAGGAGAACAGTGAAGACAGAACGGGCGAACGAGTGCAGAAGAAGAAATAGGCTATTAATTTAAGATAAAAAGAAGAAGATTGAACGAAGACCTTGAGAACACTTGCATAGTATTTGATGAATTCATTGAATTAAAGCTATTAATTAAAGAATTAATTGGGGAGAAAAATACAAAAAAAATCAAAATCAAGCTCACTAAGTCTATCAAGTTAACCACAAGAAATAAATTACTGCAATCTTCAAACCTGAATTAATAAACACAGCAAAATAAACAGAATTCTATCATAAACCCATTCCACCGTGTTTAAAAAATATATATACATCAAATATTAAATTAAATTAACGTGTACATCTCTGATTATATATCTGAACTGAACAATATATATTAAATATATACCTAAAGATACACTCAAATATATATTCAACCAAGAAATTCATCAATTGAATATAAATTACAGTAAAATAAAATGGCGACACCAAAGACAAAGCCAGAAAGGAAGAACCAAAACTACCACAAAGAAGAAATTCTCTCCCTGACAATCCAAATCTAAAGGATATATTGAAGGAAATACTAAGACTGTCTGAAAGCCAAAAAGCAGCTCAAGAAAATCAAACAAAATTTCAAGAAAAAATGTTGGAGATGAAAAATGAAATTACCACAAAATTAAGTGAAATGAAAAAAAATTACAATTCACTCCAACTTGACATTAACGAAATCAAACAAGATGAACAAAAATTAAAACAACGACAAGATACACTACAGACAAAAGTAGACAACTTAGAGGCTGCCTGTAGCAAATTGGAAGCAAGGCAAGAAAAGCTAGAACAAAAAGAGACAGAATTTCAATTACGATTTAGGAACATAGAAGAAGAGCCAAAAGAAAATATAAGAAGTAAAATTTGTAAGATAATAGCTGACTTACTGGAAGCAACGGAAGAAGAGATATCGGACGATATCGAGAAATCATACAGAATAATGACAAATTATGCTAAAAAACATAAAGTAGCCCGCGATATTATAGTACACTTCGCCAGAAGAAGCTTGAGGGGAGAAATACTGAGGGAAAACAAAAAGAATCCCCAGTTCTACAATGGAAAAAAAATTCTCATTCTGAAATAATACCCAGTCAGCACATTAATGAAGAGAAAGAAATATATTTTCTTAGCAGAAGAGCTAAAGAAAAACCAAATTCGCTTTCGATGGGAAAGATCGGAAGGAATGATGATTACATATAAAGAGGAAAGAATTTGGGTAACATCAGAAGAGAAAGCAAAAAATTTCCATAAAAAGCTGATGAGAGACCTAGAAAGAGACAAGTCGCCAGATGACCTGAATAGCAGAGACCCGAAAAAAGCAAGATTCCTCTCCCTGACCTTGACGATGACCCTGACCCCAAACCCCCCCAAGCCGGACATAGACCGTTTGGACGAAACCAAATAAATAAAAATTAAATGATGCAATTAAAGTGTTGGAGTGTTAATATTAATGGACTGAACTCCCCACAAAAACGAAATAAAGTGTTTAATCAAATAAGAAAAGGGAAATTTGACTTAGTAGCGCTCCAAGAAACCCATATAAATCAAAAACAAATCTCACACTTAATGCAAAAAAAATAGGGATAGAATTTTACTCCGCCGCAAAAGAGAAGAAAAGAGGAGTAGTGATTTATGCCAACCCAAGATTAGATCCCAAATTAGCCTTTAAAGATGAGGAAGGAAGAATGGTCGGAATAAACTTTAGAGAAAGCGGTCAAAATGTGCTTTTCTGTAATATATATGCCCCTAATGGGCCTAAAACAAAGTTTATTAAGGACCTAAGAGAAAATCTCCTCAACCAGAATTATGATAGTCTCATTATAGCAGGCGATTTCAATGGAGTATTAGAAGCAAAAATAGACAAATCCAAAAAGAAAAAGAAGAGCCAAGGGAATAAAATGAACCAATTACCTCAAAAATTTCTAAACTTGAAACAAAAATTTGACTTGATTGATCTTTGGAGAAAATTGCATCCAAAAGAAATAGACTATACCTTTTTCTCAGACCGCCATCAATCATGGTCTAGAATTGACATGATTTGGGCCTCAAATACAATACTCACAAAAATGGCAAAAATTAAAATTTAACCAAGAACAATATCAGACCACTGCCCCATAGAATTCACACTCAATGAAACAAAAAGAGCTTACAGATGGAGACTAAATGATAATCTTATAAAATCTGAAGAAGACATAAATAAAAATAAAGAAATATTAAAGGAG